ACTACTCTCTGGTACATAATTTGACCTTCTAGTGTGAGAATCCATCTTTGTTTGAGACCATAAAACCCTTGAAAAGCACAAAATAACACCAAAAGGCGTAAAATAGTACAAAAATACACACAAGGTTAATCATTGGCGCATAAATTAAATATTTACGATTTCCACATGAAATATGATGGAAAATACTAAAGATGTATTGACAAATGGGAAAAATGTAAAAAAAAAAAAAAAATGAGTGTCATCATAAGTGCCCACACTTAAAATTTTCTTGTCTCCCCATACTAGCTCTCCATCGTATTGATGATAGGTAGCATGCAAGGAATCCTCATATAGAGATCTCGATCTTATCTTGATCTCTATCTCTGGATCTGTCTCTTCATTCTCCTCAAAACATCATCATCGTTGGGTTGATTTGTATCCTCAAATTCAATAGGCCCCACTACTCAATGCATGATCACTCTCATTTTGTAGTGTGATCTCTCCTTTCACTACATTGACCATGGCACCGATAGTGGCCAAAAAAGGTCTACCAAATATAAAAATGTATGGGTTTCTATCTCCATCTTGATCACCACATAATCTACAAAGAAGAAGAATGACCATATGAATTTCCTCCATGCCGGCTAAACCGATATCTTCATAGAGTGGAAGTGGTAGGATGTCGATACTAGAACAAAGATTCACCATTTCATGCAATGACCATGATCCTCCTTTTCTTTGTATACTCGAATGATTTATTTATATTAATTCTCTTCAATAGTCGCATAACACTCTCTTCTCCTCCCAAAACTTCTATCAATTCATGCAAAATTGGAGTATGTTGAGAGGCTCTTCAAAGATGGTCATCTTCGTTGGTGAGGTTGTGTCATCGTCATTGTCCTCCTCCATGACATGAAATGTCTCCATTGTGTGGGCATGAGTAGGGATCAATGGCTTCCTCCAATTCTCCTTCTCTCCTTCTGGGATGGCTACCTCTCTCTTACTTCCTTGAGTTGATGCTCCTTCTTGCTCCTACACCATTTCACAAGGATGGGTCTTCGAAACTCCTCCTTCCTTGAAAATCTTCTCGAAAAAGGGCTCCCACGAGTTGTTGTACCTATTTTTGGCTATGGATGCTCTGAATCTCGTGATTAGATGTGATAAAAAAAATAAGAGGGGTGGCCTCCCTTTTATAGAAGAGCGGTGGGTGGTTGGCGGGTGGTACCACCCCCCTTTTCCTTCATTGATACGAACTCTTTTGAGTCCCTCTTCATATAGGACACAGAATTGGCATGATGAGTGGGAGCGGTGGTAGAGTGGAGGGTTAACCTAGTTCTTTCTTCTTGGAGAAGGTCCAGTTGGAATCCTTTTTTGTAGGAAAAGGAAATTTCACAATTGCTAGTAGGGTGGCTTGGTGGCGGATTGGTGGCGGAAGTAGGCGCCTCTCTTTTTTCCTTCCCCATCTCTGAGTTTCCTCTTCTTATTCTTCAAAGATTCGTCATATGAGAGATTTTTGGAACCATTGGATCTCTTTGCTATGGATTTTAAAAAAAAAAATCAAATAAACAAACAAATGTAAAAGCAACAAAACGGAGGGAAATCAAGTGCTTCTTATCCTCAACATGAAATTGAAAACAAAGCATCAAAAGTAAGAGAAAGTATGGGTTGTCTCGTTAGTAGAACTTTCATTATACATACTTAAGTTAGATGCCAAACATGGATTCCCTCTCATGAAGTGCTCTTTCTTATATTCCTTTGAGCCAGGTATAGCTCCGCATTCTTCAAGCTCCCCAACTTAGGGCTTTCTTAAAGTCCATCATCTTGATTTCATGCTCCAGTTGTGTAACATCCTTTGGCTTGACTCCAAGATGCATATTCACCAAGATTTTGCAGCTTTCTTCATGGTATCCAACTTTGGGAATGTCATCCTCTATCTTTTAAACTCTTATAATTAGAGAATAATTGTCTAGAGTAGGCGGGTTGCTACTCCTTTGTCTTCTCTCATTGTTGTATATGATGATGTAGATGAATCTTATTCTCCAAGAGCAAAGTTGAAGGTTTCGTTGATTTCCTTCTCCCATCTCGAGTTTAAAACAAGATGACTGTGACTTAAAGACTCACCTATCAAGCTAGATAATGTTTCTTCATTGATTCACTCCTCCAAGATCTCTTGGATGGCGGGGGTATCTTGCTCCTTTCCTTGGTTGGACTCCATTTTGGTTTGATCATCAGCATTTCTGATAGGTGGCTCCTCTTGAAGCTCATCCTTTAGATGGATAGGTTGAGATGGTTGCTCCTCTAGTGGCTCCTCATCTTTATGCTCCTCCATAGGTTGACCAACCTTGATTGAAGTCTCCTCCACCCCTTTCTCTTGTTCAATGGTGGGTTGTGTTAAACCTTGCCTAAGAGATAAAGGGGGATCATCAAGCTCGGCTTCTCTCTCTTGGATACCTTCAATGATTGAGGATATTTCGGTAGGTGGATTTAATGTGGATTGATATTGACCAAGGTGTAGGATATTTTCAAAGCCTTCAAGTGATGTGAAGCTTTCAACATCTTCCCGTGAATCCAAGATGGTTTAGATTATTTTTGGTTTGAGTTGGTAATCTTCTCCATCCAAGGGTGCTTCTTCTAGAGGGGTATCTCTTCTTCTTCTTTCAAAGATTTGAGTAATAAGATCATCTTCTTCCATATAGAATTCGTTGGCCTTGAGATAATCTTCTTTTTCAGGTTCCTTGGTAGGTTTATCATTGTTCTCTTTTCGGATAGGTTGAAGAGTCTCCATCATGGCTTCCATGGTTGGTATGATTATCATGTTGTGAGCGGCTTCCCTCATCCTTTGCATCTTCCCAAGGGGGTCTCTTGCCTTCTTCTTCTTCTTCTTTGTCTTTTAGAGATTGACTTATAAACTCATATGTTTCTTCTTTAATTTCATTGTCCTTATGATGATCCCCCTTTCCATGGTCTACGATCTCTCTATCTTTTCCTCTTCTAATGGTTAGGCATTGAGATGATCTTCCTTCTCTCCATGGTCCACCAACTCTTCATGCTCCATAATCCCTTCATGGTCTATGATCTCTCCATATTGACTCCTCAACATGGCGGCTGCATACTCCTGGCTCCATCTCTCGTTGTTTACATTGAAGAAGCTAAGATCTTCATAGTCTTCTATTAGGACTTGCCTCGATGCTTACCCTCCATGGTTTTTTATGCTTGGCACTATATGTATACTTCTTTTTCTTGATGCTTACTTGATGCTTCTTCTCTTGAGCGTTGATACCCCTGACGTGGAGTACTTGAATAGACATCGATGACCATCTTGCACCAATTGAGCTCCTTCTTTTTGGGTATCGCGTCCTTGAATGATTGGTTATGGCTTCCTAGAGTTCTAATTCATCAAAACAAAACCAACTAGAGCGTAATACTTTTCATTTACGAAATGAAAATTGAACACAAGAGGTTAGTTTCTTTCAAATACTATAAAAAATCACGACAACGACACCAAAAACTTGATGCAGTAAATCGAGGTCTTTTGATAGCAACTACTCAAACCTAAAAACCCGTGCTTGAATAACAATGCAATGAAAAGTAAATGAAGTTGGTTGATGTTCCCTTGGTGGAATATCTAATGTAAAAAAGGAAGTAAAAGACTATTGTTTAGGTAGCATTTTCTAGATGATCGTGCATACAATCTCGTCAATAAGGTGCGTCTATGCATCATCTATTATGATGCCCTATCCCATCCACTAAGACCATCTTAATCAAACTTTTGCCACATGCAATAGGAATATGACTAGCTAATGCGTGTTTTCGCTTCATGTCATCACCTAATCAATGAAGAACAAGGAAGTTAGGATAGCACATCATTAATTATGGGCCTCTATGAACCATAAGAATGGTCTACAACATCGATGACTAGTAATCAAGCATATATCCTACACAAGCATACACACATAGGTTGTCAATCCAATCGTACATACATGCATAGGATTAGAGCATATCACAAGGAAGTAGTTTCCTAACATCCTAGATGATACTAAGACAATGATTGTAGCAACACATAATAGAGTCACACCCATAGAGTAATTAAATTACTAGAGGATAAAGAGCGTCAATGATAATAAGCAATAGATGAATAAAGCATCGTAAATTCAACAAAACATCTAAAGGAACTAGCATCGATGGACCAAAGTTGAATGCAATAAGCATCTTGTTAACTCATAGAAAGTATTGCATAAACAACATAGAATTCACATCCCTAAACAACAATGAGCTAGATGGAAAAAGAATAATTGGAAGACATCATCGTAGATGATGACAACATCCTCGTTGAGCTCCTCCAGAGTCTCGCCACCTCTCCTATGCTCTCTAACTAGTGCCTCTACGGTAGAGTTATTGTAAAAGTGTGTATGAAAGCTCTACCCTAGCGTCCTATTGATACTAATTATATAAAGGGGGTTTTAGTCCTTTTCTTTATAAAGTTGGCCAAAACCTTCATTGTAAGACTTGAACTCGGATTCTTTTGACTTGGGGACAAGTAACCGTGATGAAGAATTTTATGGAGGGCTTGCACCCGAGTGCCTGTATTAAGTTGTTAGTATCGGCCACTGGATTTTCTTTACCAAATTGGTCGATGTTTTGTGGTATACTTAGGCTCATTTTCTTCACCAAATCACCCTCTATTGGGTGAGATTGCCACTCGACACAAAGCAAAGAACCGACTCACACTCGTGTTATCGAACCCTTGCTCCCAATCTATGGTGCTCTAATGTCATCAAGTTGGAGTACTCATATCGTGACCAGAAAGAGGAACAGGGGCCACGGTCCAGACTGTGACTTTCTTCCCAGCCCGTGACATCTCCTCTGACCTCTGCAAAATGAGTCTATAACAGCTTGATGAAGATTTACGGTTGAAGCCTACCACACAGTTCTACGATGTCTTTTTTGTTTCAACTTTTAATCCGGCCACTTTTCCCTAATTTGCTTTGAATCCATACCATCAATGTACAGTTAATGCACTGAAAACATTTTGCTGTTTATCAATGCAACACTTCTAGAGCCACCAATGTAGTTTGTCAATGGCGGATTCGGGTATCCGCAATGATTTGAATCCGAATTTTCAGAGTTTCACTCACGAGGGAGATAACATGTCGTATTCAAAGGGTTCGCATCAGAAATGTTCTAATTATTACAAAACAAGGGGGACACCATCGGATAAAAGTCTACTCAGGCCATAAAAGGAAACACAAGCCTGGCTGGTTGCCGTTGGCACTTGGCACCCCAACTCAGTAAACAATTTCAACTGGTCTTCAGCTAGAAACCAACTCGCTGATTATTTCGTCCAAATGACCGCCATCATCCTAATGCGCTCTGCAGATTTTTCTGTTGAGGCATTTGATCACATCATTGGCACTCTCAATTCCTGAAACATATCAACATAAAACGACAACAGACATTTAATCACTTCAATTTCAATTACAGCACGTGAACCAAAATCGCTTATCAGCTTAGGAAACGTACCCGAGAAATATGCACCGGTGGCAAACCCCATGTACTTCTCACTTGTATGTTCTCCAGTGAAGTAAACAGGACCAACTGGCGCCTAATGAAATTAAACCAAAACAACATATCAGCAAATGATCACCCCCACCATGGAATCATTGATTGATATTTTTTCAGTGCAACAAGGAACCATTCGATTACCTGCAGATGCTGAAACTGCTCGTGGCTATAGCGCGGCGGCCAGTTGACATAGCTTCCCTTGAAGAACCTGTTGGTCCACCATCTGGGAACCAGTATAGCATCTGGGTTCGGAATGTTATTCCCAAACATCTTCTTCAAAACTTCCATCGCTTCTGCCTTGGTTGCTTCATCCGACTGCTTCTCTATTCTGATTGATTCGTCTCCAGTCACGGTCACAAACAGTATGTTCGATCCAGGATACTCATTCTCCAGATGCTGCAACATCATGAGAAACATTTGGAGTCAAACGTTGTATTTTTGTTTTAGTAAATGACTTGGTCTCCGTGAAGTAGTGGCACTTATTTACCTTCCAGATGGGGTAATATCCATGGTGTTGATGTGCGTAGAAGAAGACCTCAGTTCCAGGGCCAGTGGGCCAGAACTTGTGAGGGAACTTGATGAATATCTTGGTGTACGTAGCCATGCTGAAATCCGATATCGCCACTCTTTTCCACATCTGAATCACACAAGACAAGTCGATTAAAAGGGAAGAAAATGACTAATGTGATGTGATGATGAAAATTGCTAATATGGTGAGAAAACGATCCTGACCGGGAACTCAGGTTTGAAGGAAATGAGATTGCTCTGGAGAACTCCCAAGCTGGCAGAGAGGATAGCAAATTTGGCCTCGAAAACAGAGCCGTCCTCTGTTTTCACAGTCACTCCTTTCTTGGAATAGCTAATCTCCCTCACCACCTTATTCAGCTTCAATCTAGGGTCGCCTTTCTTCAAGAACTGATCAGCAATATGATAAGCCATGCTCTCAAAGCCTCTTGGGTCCTTGACATAGTTGAAGTTAACCCCGTGATCCACAAGCTCATGCCTTGGGTACTTGTGCTTCACGCTCGTCAACTGTGGCGCCTGTGCATCTATGTAATCGTTGTTGAAGTAATCCACCACCATCTCGAGAGGCGTCGCTGGCACCCTTTCAAACCCACAAAAAAAGAAAAACAACAACAACAACAACAACAACAAAAAAAGAATTAGCCACCATAAAAGCAAGATTCATGAGGTGGGGAAATGGAGATTGCTGTGTGATATTACTGTTTGTAGAGCAAGTAAGCTCCCATAACGGACACGTCTTGGTCGCTTCTGGGATTGGAGTTGAGCGTGGTGGAGAGGTTTGTGCAGAACTGTGCTCTGGCTGCGCCTGCCCCCAATGCTGCATCAACCTCTGCTTTTGGGTATAATCCGCCTCTGTCAAAACAAACGAACAATGTAATTGGCTGCGCCCTGTTTTTTTTTTTTTTTTTACCCTTACCAAAGACAAACTCAAACCACAGTTTTGGAGGAGAGGGTTTTACTGTTGTTTGTAGGTGTTGGAAGAGAGGTTGCCGAAGTTGGTAGGGTAAGTGTTGAGCTTCAGGGAGTTTGCAATGTCGACGAGAGGGTTGTGCTGTGGGCCGCCGCCGAAATACCAACAAGCGCCAACCTCCATGGTTTTTCCTGCAAATGCCACTTTGGACAGCCTTCCTCCAATCTTTGGGGTTGCTTCCAGGATTACAATGTCCTTGATCCCGGCATCGTGAAGTGTCTTCGCTGCTGCGATTCCTGCATTTTCGAATTAGGCCCTGAAACTGTTAAGTCTCTTGGTTGATGGAACGGAGTGCACAAGATAAAAGAGATTAAGCTGATAGTGTGTCACCTGATAAACCAGCGCCGACCACGATGACAGATGACGGCGGAGGGGCAGCCACGGTTGCTGATGAAACTGCCAGAAGAAGAACAAGAAGGGAGAGTAGGAGCTTCATGGCTGCTGAGAGGTGCATGTTTCGAAGCATAGAGTGGCAAGGCAGTGTTTGAGTGGGTGGAGTGTGTGTGGGGATTCGGCTCTTTATCAGCAGGTGCAGTATTGCCTCTTTTGGGTGGTTCTTACCTACCTACCTACCTCATTTTGAAACACCACATGTATTAAATGGAACGAGGAGTAGAAGAAGTAGATAGCAAAGTGGTTTTGGTCTTACTGTGCTCTGGAAGAAGGGTTCAGCAGAATTCAGCTCCTTGGTATCTTGTCTCTTTGGATTTTTCCTAAAAAAAGTTGAAAAAGGGGTTTGCACAGGAAAGGTAGATAGCACGTGCTGAGTAAACACTTGGAGGAGTAGTGAATTATTCACACGCATTGTGTCATCTACCATTTATCTTGCTTGAGTGAGTAAATTTTTCACCATGCAAACATACACTACGGTTATAATGCGAACAGCTAATGTTGTATTCACTTATCATCTCGTTTTCTGTTTTGTTGCGACAACAATAAAAAAACTTATTCACTTAATGTTGAGATTTCAATTGGCAAAATCATTTGACAACAAATAAGATCGTTGGACGGAAACTTATTGAAAATTCAGTTACTAGGAAACTTTGTGGGAGACAACCGATAGAACCATAGCATGCGCGAAATAACTTGATTGGTGCTGCCGGTGACTCGGTGGGAGAAAAATTGTATGCAACGATTGAATATGCGGAAATGAAATAGAGCACAATATTTACGTGGTATCCCTAACGAATCAAGATTAATTCGCGGGAGAGTTAAGTTCTCTCCAGCTTAACTTTTATTATGCGGAGCTTAAGTGATGGTTGTAGCCTTACAGGAGCTTAAATAAACCAACTCATATTTAGGGTAACATGGAATAGTTAGGGTTTTCTTCTCCAACCCAACGTCCAACATCGCATGGGATGCTTGGTTGGACGTGTATTCGTCTCATGGGCTTCGTCATTACTCATTAGTCAATTCCAATACTCCCCAGCAAGCTGGAGCGTGGACGTGGAGGTTACGAGCGTTCAGTATAGACACTAGAAATCGAAAGCGCTTTGCACCGAGTTCCTTGGTGAGAATGTCTGCCAACTGGAGATGAGAACTGACTTTGAGAGGAAGAATGTCACCAGATTGAACACGCTCACGCACAAAGTAACAGTCCATAACGACATCCTTCGTGCGATCATGAAAAACATATTTGGTGGTGTTGCGATAGTCACAATAGAGGGGTGTGAGGCGCAACTGTGAGACAGGTAGCTCCTATAAAAGCCAAAGCAGCCACATAAGTTCACTTATAATGGTGGCCATGGCACGATATTCATCTTCAACTGAGGATCGGACAACGAGACGTTGCTTCTTTGTTTGCCAAGAAATGGGAGCCCACCAAGAATGATGAAATATTTGATGGTAGACCGTCGAGTCGACTCACAACCTCCCCAATCTTCATCATAGTAAACCTTGACTCGACGAAGTCTATATGTATTCGAAGATCCAGAGAGCCACTTCCATATGCGCTTGGCTAGGTCGGTGACACAATGGCTTAGCATGTTGACTCCATAGGTGATATATGGAAGCGTGAGGGTCACGTACAAAAATCTCCCAATGAGGCGACGTTAGCGAGATGGGTCGACCAAGAGATCATAATCCTTCGTTGGGCGATTCAAGTGGTGATCTTGTTCCGCCGAAAATGCACTAGGTCGCGCGACTTCAAATCCAGCATCCTCGAGAATATCCAATGCATATTTGAGTTGGCATAATGCATCACCATCGCGAGTCCGTGCATATTCCATCCCGAGGAAATACCGTAGGGTACCCAAGTATTTGATGCGAAACTCTGCATGTATGTAACTCTTCACATGAGCCATGAAAGTAAGATCATTCCCAATGAGGAGTACATCATCGACATAGATTAAAGCCAACACAAATGTGCTCCCCCGTCGAAAGATAAAAAATGAGTGGTCCGTCGGAGAAACGCGAAAACCTAGAGTAATGAGGGCAACGGTCAATTGTGTTACCAATTTCTCGAAGCCTACTTGGGTCCATAAATGGACTTGTGCAAGCGGCATACCCTGTTAATCTCCTGGTTTAGAAAAACCTTGTGGTACCTGCATATAGACCTCCTCCTGGAGATCCTCGTGCAGGAACGTATTATTCACATCCAATTGATGCAAATGCCACCCTCTACTGATAGCAACCGCTAGAAGACAATGAACGATGAAAAGCTTTGCTACCGGCGCAAACGTGTCGTGAAGTTAAGAACTCTATTTGCGTAAAGCCTTTCGGCAGCAAACGAGCTTTATAGCGCACAATAGTACTTTCTGGGTAGTACTTGATTTTGAACAACCATTTTGAACCGATTGCCTTTTCTCGGGGTAACTCAACAAGAGTCCAGGTTCCATTTTGCTCCAAAGCCATTATTTCCTTTATCGTGGCTTCTCGTCATCATTGGTCTTTGATGGCTTGATGGAAGAAAGTAGGTTCATCATTCCCTGTCACAACAGCAAGAAAATCCATATAACTATCATTCACATTATCATATGACACAAAAGTAGAGAGGAGGTACAAGATAGTCGTGTTTGCACTTCCCTCGGCAGCCAATGAAGAATCTGCAGGTGTGTGGTATGTGGTCTCATAAATTCCAAGTGTTTAGACCGTACACGAACACGATCCCCTAGCCTCGGTTCCACTTGGGCTGGCTGCTCTTGGTCTTGATCAGCATCAGTCGAGGAAGATCCTAAGTTGTTCATCGGGCCGAGAGAGTCTTGTGGTATTGTGGAGAAAATTTTTCCTGGGAGTATCTAATGAAGGCTACTCAAGAGGTGGCAAAAAGTCAGTAGGGCTTTCATCTTCGTCTGGTACCACCATGGTTGAGTATCCCAATGTAACGTTGTCATGATGGAAAGGGAACAAATTCTCGTTAAAAAGTACATCACGTGATGTAAAAATTTTCTAGTAGATAAATCATACACTCGATAGCCCTTCTGGCTCGATGCATAGTCAAGAGTTACGCACAAACAACCTCGCTCTGCAAACTTATCGAGGTTAGCATGAATGTCCTTAGCACATGGAAGACATCCAAAATCCCAGAGATGTGAGTATGGTGTTGCTTCCCAAAGAGTACTTCAAAAGGTGTCTTTCCTGTAGCTACAATAGGAAGACAGTTGAGGAGATATGTTGCAGTGAGAAAACATTCACCCCAAAAACGAATGGGAAGGCTAGTCTGAAATCGTAGTGCTCTAGCCGTTTTAAAAATATGAATGTGCTTCCTTTCGACGACAGCATTTTGTTGGGGTGTGTCCGTGCAGGATGTTTTCAACCTGATCCCCTCCTGCTCATAGTAATGCTGCAAACTTAACGTGTTACTCATGGGCATAATTGTCCTGGAAGTAGTTTATACGTCGCCCGAATCGGCTTCGCACAAGCTGGTCAAACATCATCAAATGGCGTTCTACCTCCGACAATGTAGTAAAAAATGTGTTTCTACATATAAGCATTTTGGTGATCTAGAAGCATAAAATCGTAAGCTTTTAAACGCGCTTTTTAACTACAATAGTTATAAAAAACACATTTTTTGCGGAGAAACATTTTGGTGTCCTAGAAGCACAAACAACGTAAGTTTTTAAACTTTAAAACGCGATTTTAACTACATTTCTCCGACTTATAACGTAACAAATAGACCCAAGAAGCACGACTAAAATCATCGACATTAATGAGAAAATAGTGAGCTCTGCTAATAAAGGAGTTTTATATCCTCACGAGATGTCAACATGAACCAAATCGAAACATGAATGAGTACGTGTCCCACTGGAAGGAAAAGAAAATCGAGTTTACTTTGCCCTAGAACAAGAGTCACACATCTCTTTATTTTCACTAACAGTAATACCCAAAGGAATGCTAAGTTGCTCCTATTTTTATGGGAAGGATGCATCAACCGCGAATGCATGCCTCACATTGATATCTCACGTCCTCTGGTCACCGTGCAAGCGTGCGTCTGCCCAGCTCCATAGGGGCAGAGATAATACAAGCCATCTCGAGACTCACCCTTCCCAACCAATTTATTGAAAATTAAGTTGTAAATGATGCAAAACACACCAAGAAAGATCAAAGAAACTCGGTTATTCTTGGTGAAACATCTAATAGAAACTAAGTTGCACCTAAACTCAGGCATATGCAATACTCAACCTAACACAAGATCATATTGTAATTCAATGCTCCCAACGTGCTTTACTGGAATACTTGCTCATTTGGTATACAGACTGGCTAACCATTTTCATTTCTCTGTTTATTTATCAACAAAGACTCATCCATGGTAAAGTGCTCGTTGTAGCCTGAATCCCACAACCATTTGTGTCTAAAGAAATCATACCATCTAGGTTAGCGGACGGGTCATCAGCCCCTCTCGTCTGATATCCAAAGAATTGCTTTATTTGTTCCAACTGGGCCAACATCAAGCCTGCCACCAAAATTTTCTCTATGTCCGTCTCACTCTGACTTGCCTGGGATGTCTTTGGTTCACGATCGCGTCCTATGTCATGACCCAAGTTCTCCCCAAGTGCTCGAGGGCATCTCTTTTGCAACGGGTTGCCTTGGTTGTCACGAGGTTGATAACCAATCAACTGAAAGCACGTCTCATTTACGTGACATGCCTTCCCGCAATGGAGGCAACTTGGCTTCTCCTTTCCACCACGTTGTCCCTTGTTGATCTCCCCCAAGCAGAAAAAGTTGCTACCTCCAACATTATCTTCCTGCTTTCTGAAATCAGGCATTACTATTCTTCATTTGCCGCAAGATTGTAGACCTCGCCCAAGGTAGGAGTATGCCTCATTGCCAAGACCTGCGTTCGCACAGTAGAAAAAAATTCATCCAAACCCATTAGGAAATTAAATACCCTTGAAATTTCCCATTGGGCACGAAAGTGAAAAGAAACTCCACACGTGCAACATACTGTGGGATCAATCGCCGTCGACTCCTCCCATAAGGATTTAAGCTTAGTGTAAAAGACCGACACAAAATTATTTTCCTATTGAATAATGCTTATGAGTCTCCTTAGTTAGTAAGCTCGAGCTCCA